AATAAATATTATAATAAAATATTATTTAATTCACATAAATATTAATAAAATTATATATAAATATTCATAAATCATTAAACATGTTGTCATAAAAGGATTGTTAATACGATTATTTGAAGTTTGGATTACATCACATTCACGTAATAAAATATTTTTAATATAAAATTTATATTTAGGTTCAATAATCGATGTGGCCGAACTGATACATAACTTAGTCACCTGGGACCAACCAAGTTGTGTCAAATTTTTTTACTATTTTAAATATCACCTAAAAGTAATTCAATCAACCTGGGCAGTACCCTAATTCAATCACCCGATTGATCCGAAGAAATTTTCTTATTTTCTTTAAATATATTTAATTTTTATGAAATAAAAATATTTTATGGTTCATATAATAAATATCTACACCAAATGATAGTATATTAAGATTACAAATTATATATCTAAAGATGAATTAATTAATTTTACTTTATGCATATTAATAAAAAAATAAACATAGTAGTTTTCAGAAAATTAAGATTAATTGATTGATTATGCAATTTAAAGAATATTTATAGTGTTCAATATATTTTTCTAAAGGCACAAATATAAAGACCGAGATTCTAAAACTTTTGTTATATTTTGAATTGAGATTTTATAAATATAGAGACTGAGATTTTAATTTTGTTCATTGTTTCTAAGAAAAAAGAAAAAATAAAAACATACACACTTAATAAATCTAAGCCGAATTTTTAGATAATAAAAATGAACTAAAGCTCGAAATTTAAGGTAGCATTTAATGTTGTATGAGTTTTAAAGAAAAAAATAAGAAAAATAATAAAACTTACTACTATTTATAGGCTGCATTAAATTCTGACCTATTTTTTGCTACTATTTTTGGTAAATGATAATTCTTATTATATATATATATATATATATATATATTCACCGAATCTATACTTATATAAAAAGACATCCTATTTATTAGAAATAGTAGCCAGAAAAGTCAAAGTTAATTAATGCTTGCTGGAAATAGAATGACATTAATTACAAATTTGTTTTGGTATTTATAGGCTTGACATTGAATATTTGTTATGGGATAAAAATCAGAACCGATTTTTTTACCTTTGCTGTAAAAGTCAAAGGTAAGTATAGATATGTTTTATCCCATAACATCGGTTTAGTTAAAAAAATCTCATAAAATCATGATTAAAATCATAATAAAAATTATGATAATAAGGAACTTTTGTAACTATAATAAAAACATAACAAAATAAAATAATCATAATGGCGACATTATGATTAATCTGTAAAATTTCAAACATGTCAAATGGCGCCATTACTTTTAATCCAAAAAGAGTTTAAAAATGCAAATATAGATAGATTTTTTTAAGGGAATCTAAACGATCTTAAGATTCCCAAACATATGAAACGTGTATGCATAAAAATCTCATTCCTATGAAGATAAACATGTTTCAATATGTACATATATCATAAATATGTGAAGAAAATTATGTTTCTTTTCATGGGAGGTAACTAAGTTTTCAATGTTTCAATATATATACAAAATTTTAATTAAATTTCTAAACAATTTAAAGTTTTCAATGTTTAAACTAAATGATAAATGATTTATAAATCTACATTTTATTTAAATATGTATTTTCATTTATATTAAAAATAATTTAAATGTAACAAAATTTATTTCAAAAATATCGATATTTCGATGGACTGGTGTTGACCGGTTTGCTAGCAAACATTTTATTCAATCGAACCGGACTGGTCGATAAACCAATTCCATATCCATCCGGTCAGAGTACTGTCCGGTCTGGTCCAATTTTAAAAACAATGGGTAAATCATGATTAATGTTATGTATATATTTAATTTATAATACAATCGTAATATTATTTCTCCATGCATTGCACGGGCCACGTACTAGTCAAATTATAAGAGTGATGAATTGTAATAATTGATTCATTCAGTCTATAAAATCAGTGTGATAAATAGTAATTTTGATCATTATTTTAAAATTGTTATATTGTCGATTTATTTTATGAATCTCTCTATCCTAAACGATAGTACATTGAACTTATTTATAATTAGTATTTTTAGCCTAAAAAATTAATCAAATAGTTTTTTTACCAAATAATTTAATTAGCTGATTTGACAGGACACACACATTGCGTTAATAGTGTGTTATAAATTAGTGTTAAACCCGTGCGATGCACGGAGCATATGGTTCAATAATATTTATTTTAGTATGTTATTAATTAATTAATTAAAATTTATGTTTATGCAATTCAAATTTAAAAAAAAAAATAAAATTTATTTCAATAGCATTAAACATTTCATTATAAATAGATTTATTGTATGACCGGTCACAGTTTGATATGCACAAACTAATATTTTTAAACCAATATCACTGCTTACGTGTCTTATACCACATAATAGAGTTTTTCATTGATTGGAAAATAATAGACTGACCTGTGTTTTACTAATAGAACATGATTTATTATTTTTTTATTTTTTTTATTTTTATATTCATCCATCATCACATAGGAAATCATAAGTGGTAACTGGTACCATGTGAATTTGAAAGGTATTTGTAAATCAAATGGAGAGAACACATCACATATAGTTAAAAGACAATATATTTTAATTAGATATTATTTTATTTTAAAAAAAGATATATACAATTGAACCACTTTATATTTATATATTATTAAAAACTTTCTTGTACAAAATATTTTCGTTCTGAGTCTTAGAAGCTCGATCTCCACACACTAAGAAATAGCACAATAACATAATTGAAATAGCACATTATATAAATCAATCATGGACAATAAAGGCACCTGAGAATCATGAAAAGTGCATTCAAAAAACTGAAATCACATTTTTCCCATGGGTTGTAATCCTTTCGTACATCCTAACTAGATGAAATGACACAAAGAGAGGAACTATTTTATGAAACTTTGTTAAGTATCTATATCTATATATATATATAAAAAGGTTTGATTACTTTTTAAATAATAACTATTTCCCTCCAAAAAAATCTATTTACTATTTCAGAAAATCATTTAATAATTTATGGCATATTTCTAATAATCACTTATGGAAATGGCGGCTCATTATTTAAGGATATAATTAAGCCATAAAAAAAATAAATTTGTAAGATACCTTAATTACTCAAATCATGTGGTTCTGCAGATTTATCCAAATATGGGAACTTTGGCTGCAATATCAATTATGTGATTTATTAAAAAAAAATCCAAATAAATTATCTAATTTAATATTTAACAAGTGTTTTATATTTTTCGTATAATTTTTTATGAAATTCAATTTTAATACACCTTAATTATGCAAATTATGTAAAATCGACTGATTTATTCAATCTGCAAATAATTACTACAATTATGAAAATATCGACAACAATAATCAATTATGCAATTTGCAAAAAAATATTCTAAAAAAATTGTGTTAATGTCAGTTTTTATTTAAATATTATTTAATAAACGTTATTTTTTTTTTGTATATTTAATTCCTCAAATCGTGGATAGTTAAGGAATAATTAGACCATAGAAATTTACATTTTTAAGATACCCCAATTACATATATCGTGTAAATTCAGTTGGTTTATTCAATTGTAACTTAATTTTTATAAAAGTGTTCCAAAATATTTGTGTTAATGGCAGTTTATATTTAATTATTTTTAATAACTATTTTTTGGGTCTTTTTTATTTTTATCTATAAAAAACATGGGTCTCGATTTTGTTTTGTACGCTGGGTAATTAATTTTGTGGTAAAATTGAATATTATTTTTTATATTTTATTGATAAAGTATGAAATCAAAATATTTTGTATACTATATATTGATCCAATATATCTGCTTATGGTAAAAAAAATGGTGTCTCAATATTTTTTTTTTCATATTGCTAAGCATTCTACTCGATATTAATGAAAGAAAAATCTAGAGAATACTATGGATGATACTTCTTTGAAAATGTGCGTGAAACATATCAAATTACCTGGTATATATATTTATGTAAATCGATCAATCTATTTAAATTCCACAATATCATTTACACAATCTAACAACCATAACAAAAAGAAAATTGAGAAACTCAATCGTATCATAACAATCAATCAACTCATACCATAATTGATCAACAAGTAATATTCCAATAGGATTTAATAACATCCCAATTGATCAACAAAATAATATTTCTAAATTGAATTTTGTCCTAATCAAAAAAAGTATACCGTATTTAAATTAAATGAAAATTTGATTAACAATTAACCAAATATATAATTGCCAAGTAAAATTTGTACAGTACAAAAATAATGTATTAAAAAATTAAAATTTTATATTACACTAATCATGTACTGAAGAATTGGTACAATTTTTAAATTGTTTTATTGCTTTTTTTATATACTTTTCATATCAAATATTTATGGTATTTAACTAAATTATACTTTGGTCTTCCCCTATAAATTCAGTCATTTTTCAACCATTTATAGTTATCCTTCGTTTGATTTCGTTTCAATGTTCAAGTATCTGATTTTATCTTTTATTTAATTAAGGATGAAGTGTTAATTCGGTTTGATCAAGAAAGTTACTAGAACAAAGAAACTAAGTTACGAGCAATTTGAATAATTGAAAATAAATTTGCTGTTGAATACAAAAATTACTTGGAAATTATGTTTATGATGAGGAGATGAGAATAAATAATTCATTTTGAATTTGTTTTTCATTGTCTATTTTTTTTTTAATTTATTAATTTTTAAATAGACATGTTTTATGTAATTTTGAGCAATTTAAATTTTATATAATATTTTCAATAAATTAATGTAGGTAAATTGCATGACATGTTAGATTCTATATTTTTAATTTATATTAATAAAAAATTTTAATTTATAAATATTAATAAATATCTTTTACACGATTTGTACTAATACTAATAATCATAAAACTAGTAAGAGGTCAAGACCGTGTGATGGTGGAACTCAATATCTCGGTTTGGAAAATATTTCGGAGATTGCTTAAATGAATCGAAAAGCGGGCCCCACTTGCCAAGCCTAGTCTTCGTTTCTTCCCTCTCTCAGATCTAATAAACAGCCTGACAATTTCACATTTTAATCCCTAACCAAACCTCAACGCCTTCACTCCTACAGTTGGCCAGAGGAAACGTGGTACTGTTGCCTCTCTCCCTCTCTCTGTTGTCGTTAGATTTTCAGGCGAGATGGGTTTGGTGGGCGTCCAAGAAAATGGGGGTTCGGAAATGGGATTGAGTTTGGGAACCAAAAACAAATACAGAAGAATGGATTCGCAGCCGACACAAGATGATGATTGCGATTCTTCAGATCAGACGGAGGAGAGGAAAAAGACGACTAGGAAATATGTCTTTGCCTGCTCTGTTTTTGCATCTCTCAACAGCGTTCTCCTCGGATATGGTATAAAGTTTATCTTTTTTTTTTCTTTTTTATATATATAAATCATTTCGATTAACATCTTGTTATTTGGTAAAACCTATTTTTCTCCCCGATTTTGATTTCGGATAATTTCACATTTATGAATTTTCAAATTTGATGGAATGCAATAGAAAGGGGTAAATGGAATGTCAATGTCAACGTTTCGTGATGCCCAGATCCTATTTTGTTTACCAGGTCGATCTATTTTGGGTAGAGATTTTTGTTTACAGATTTATTAGTTGCGGGATATTCTGGCACTCCTTTTTCGGATTTAATTTGATGGCCCCTGTCATGTGCATTCGCGTTTCTACTTTATCATCTATCGAATTGATGCAGATTGTCGTAACTCGTAAGTAAATCGATTCTTGCTTTCACGTACAGATGTGGGGGTAATGAGCGGTGCCGTCCTCTTCATCAAAGAAGACCTCAAAATAACAGAAGTCCAGGTCGAGATCCTGATCGGCATCCTGAGCGTGATGTCCCTAGTGGGAAGCCTCGTTGGCGGCCGCACATCAGACGCGGTTGGACGCAAGTGGACAATCGGCCTCGCCGCCATCACCTTCCAAACGGGTGCCGCCATTATGGCATTCGCCCCTTCCTTCACAATCCTCATGCTCGGCCGAATCCTCGCCGGCATCGGCATCGGCTTCGGCGTCATGATAGCCCCAATCTACATCGCCGAGATCTCCCCAACCGTTGCCCGCGGCTCCCTCACCTCCTTCCCTGAAATCTTCATCAATTTCGGCATCCTCCTCGGCTACGTCTCTAACTACGCTCTCTCCGGCCTCTCTCCGCACATCAGCTGGCGCGTCATGCTCGCGGTCGGCATCCTTCCTTCCGTCTTCATCGCCTTCGCCCTATGCATAATCCCCGAGTCCCCTAGATGGCTCGTGATGCAGGGCCGCGTGGACGAGGCCCGAATCGTCCTCCACAAGACGAACGAGAGCGAATCGGAAGTCGAGGAAAGACTCGCTGAGATCCTACTCGCCGCCGCCGTTCCAGAGACGGAATCGAAATCCGCCGTGTGGAAGGATTTGACGAATCCGTCGCCGGCGCTCGGGCGGATGCTGATCGCCGGCTGCGGAATCCAGTGCTTCCAACAAATCACGGGGATCGATTCGATCGTGTACTACAGCCCGGAGATTCTCGCGGCCGCCGGCATGGAGGACAAGTCGAAGCTCCTCGCCGCCACGGTGGCGGTCGGGATCTCGAAAACCGTGTTCATACTCATCGCGATTCTTCTCATCGATAAAGTCGGGAGGAAGCCTCTATTGTACGTGAGCACGTTCGGGATGACGCTCTGCCTGTTCGCGCTCGGCGCGACGCTCTCGTTCGCGGGGACCGGGTCGGCGACTAGTGTCGGAATGACGATTCTGTCCCTGTGTGGGAACGTGGCGTTCTTCTCGGTGGGCGTGGGGCCCATCTGCTGGGTGCTGACGTCGGAGATATTTCCGCTGAGAGTGCGGGCGCAGGCGTCGGCGCTGGGGGCGGTGGGGAACCGAGTGTGCAGTGGGTTGGTGGCGATGTCGTTTCTGTCGGTGGCGGACGGGATCAGCATGGGGGGGACGTTTTTCGTGTTCGCGGCGATATCGGGACTTGCGGTGGCTTTCGTGTACAAATGTGTTCCCGAGACTAAAGGGAAGTCGCTGGAGCAGATCGAGATGCTGTTTCAGGATGGGTACAACAACAAGAGTGAAGTTGAGCTCGGGGATGCCGAGCATTTGGTGCGCAAACAGTCTGAAGCTCCTGGTGTTTGAATGTTTTCTCACCACCTCATTTTTTCCACTACAGATATGCTTCTCATGATAAAATCCGGGTCTGCTGCTCAACTATCTGTATAGTTTATTCTTTTGTGGGCTTATTATACTTTCTAGTGTACTCTATATAGAGTTAATGAGTTGATTGATTAGGGTTGTGGGCTTCTACGCCCTCTTATACGAATGCTGAAGCATTACCCATTCAAGGAGGAATAATGTATTTCTGCTGCTGGTTTCATCTTTTTGTTTACAGAAGGGAGTAGATCATTTCATTATGATGATGTGTGACTTCATTGGACAAGTGATTAAAGTGGATCCAAAATTTTCACTTCTTCTTTGATAATTAAATAATTAGGTTTACTTGAAAATCACACCATTTATTCGTGAAGATAGATTTTTTTTTTTTTAAATCATGTTTCAGCTAATATTTTAATCACATTTCGATTATTGCTGGTGTGTTCCTCAAGCCTTATCAACTAGTCATAATTTTTCTAATTCATATTATATAATGAGAATTATAAATAATATTTACTATTACAGGAGGTCATTACAAAAATATATGTGTAAAACATGTAATGTACAGCTTCGTATATTTGATTTTGATTTTTCCTTTTTCCAAATTTCTTCCTGATTTTGTATTGCAATTATGGTTTTGATATAGCACATAGGGATAGAGATAGATTGGGTGAACCGGCCACCGGACAGCTCGGTTGGGAGAATGAAGACTAGTTAGGCCGGTTAGTTTAAGAGCAGGAAGGCTTAAACAATTCGGTCATTAAGGAGCTCGAACAACCTAGGCAGAGGTACAACTTGGTCATTAAGTAGCTCAACAACTGGACAACCTCGTCAAAACGGATGTTCCAAGACCGCGAAGTTTGCTTCAATCCATAAATGGACCGATTCAGCTTACAGAACAGATGCTCTCATCCTTTTGCAATGAAATCCTCTGGTTGCTGCATATAGATGTCATCGTCCAAATTTTCCATTAACAAAATCGGTCTTCACATCCATCTTTCATATCTCATAATCCATATGAACGGCAACAACCAAGAGAATCCTAATGGATTTAAGCATGGCTACCGGCAAAAAAGTTTCCTCATAATCGATCCCTTCTTTTTTAGTGTACCCCTTCGCAACAAGCCTAGCCTTAAAGGTTTCAACTTTCCCATCTGATCTTCTCCTTCACTTATAGACTCACTTGCATCTATTGGCGCTAACGCCACTGGGTGGCTCCACAAGATCCCAGACCAGATTTGATTCCATTGACTCTATCTCGATCTCCATCGCACTATGTCAAGACTCGCAATGTGCCCGCCACATGCCTGCACTCGCAGCCGCAGATACCTGCTCCCAGTCGCAGACCAGTTCGTCCCGTCCCAGTCACGCCCCAGCTTTGCGCGACCCGCATGCATCTCCGTGCACGATCCGCAGGCAACCCCGTGCTGTTCGCGGACTCCTAGCGAGCAACCCGCACGACACCGGCGTTCCTAGCGCGCGAGCCACAAGCTTCCAGGCGACCCGTGCACGCATGCGCCCGACGCCTCAACACTCCCAGCGCACTAGCCGACCGGCACAATCGAGACTCGTGCGCACCAGCAGCGTACCAGGTGCAACCGCGTGCCTGACCAAGCCAAACCCCAGCTCGTGGACACTCAACGACTTTTTTTTTTTCTAATTTTAGCCTTCTGACCCCAATATTTATTTTTAGCGAGCTTCGATTTATTTTTCATTTAAGCGGACTTTTTTTTTCAGAAAACCTTAGTCGAGCCTCATCTTCAAATTTAATTAAATTAATTTTAGAAATTATCTTTGCGCATTATGAATAATATCACATTTATGTTAAATCATTTTATAATGCAGATAACGAGGGTTCGAGTCACTGAGACATTCATTCGTCCGTGCATTTATTTCGAGTAGGTGGGGATTTCTACATTCTTACTCTTGTTAATCGCTTGATATGATTATGATTGTATGTACATGTCATAGTGCCTACGGGCAATATTATTTATGGAGCGGACGGGCCAATATACTAGGAGCGCTAGAGTCACGCGACAACATGTTCTATGGCCTTCGGGCAGAAATATTGCATGCTCCATGGCCTTCGGGCAAAAGTATTCATGTATATATGGCCGACGGGCAATCTACTAGCACACTTAGAGTCGCGTGACCACATATTCCAAAAAGTTAACCTACGGGTTACATGCTATGTTCCAAGGTGTGTGTGTAATTATGGTGATGTCGATTATTAGCTTGACTAATTGCACAGTTATCTCCCACTGAGTTGTTGATGCTGACTCCTCATTTAACATTTTCAGATTAACGAGTTGGCGTCGGGACTCGAGGACGTGTGGTGGTTATTTGTAAATAAAAATTGGTGTTTTATGTTTAGTTGGATTTTTGTTCATGACTTGGAGTATTTAGAACTTATTGCTCGTATAGTTATGACTTGGGCAATTTATATTGAGTTGGCTTGAGAATTTGAAAACTTGGGATTGATTGCACTCTATTTTCCCTTTCGAAATTCATTATGAGATGGTGCTTCTTGAGTTTTGAGAACATGATTAAGTTGCCGAGTTGAGTTCAAGAAGTTTAAATTGATTATGAGTTGTATTATCAGAGTGCGCAGCAGTGAATGTTGACATACTGAATGTTGAAATATCCTTGTTCTTTCAACATTAAAATATTGATGTTGGCTCGAGTATTGTTTTCAAAATCTGTTAACGCCCCTTATAAATTGACATATGTTTTTTTAAAAATTAGGGCTTTTACAATAGGCCTGATGAACGAATCTAATTCCACCATCATCTTCCGAAGCGCATCTTCACTAGATGCAACAAACTGGAGGGAAGGATCCAGATCTAGCTGCTCCATCCTCCAAGCCGAACCTGCCCCGCAACAGCGGCTTCACGCCTCTCTTAGATCCTCCTCGGAGCCCATTTTATGCTGAAGACCTTGTTGATGTTCTGAGTTTTGACAACCGTGAACCCCACACAACCATTACCGTTCACCATGAAGAGGATCCCACCCTTAGATAGGACACCATCGGGGGAGCTCACTCCTCCCCGGGGCTCGCAGTCGACTTTTCTGCTCTAGAAGAAAGCGTGGGATTCTCTCCCGACGGATGCTCCTAGACCGGCTTGAACAAACAACGAGCCCTCATATCAATCTGAAGACTCCCCTCCCACACCGACGAAAACTTCCCTTGACCCTATTGAGGTTTTATAAGGAACGTCGAATTTATGCAGAACACATATTCGTTTACAAAATAAACCTAAGCACAACAAAACTAAAGTAAGGGCTAAACACTTACAGTTCAAAACTTTTGCAGACTATGAGTAGACTACAGGACCTACGGGGTCGGATGAATGGTTCTGAGGCGATATTCTCACCTCATCATCACGCATTAGTCGGTTGTCTCCACTGATCGTCGTGCGCTGCCAGGGGTAGCAGAGTTGCTCAGTCGCGTGCGTCACTAGGTCGCTCGCTAGCGGCATTCATTGGCTGTCGCGTGAGTCGTCTAGTAGCCCAAGGCTCTTGCGTGCATTTCCGAGTCGTTGCGTGCTGCACCTGGCCATGTGCGGTGGTCGTCGGGGATGGGGTTGCTCGTGGTGCTGCTGTGGTGGTTCCCAGATGGTCCCGGGGTTGCGTGCCATGACGCGTGGCCTCAGTTGACCTCAAAGACTTTTGTTGTATGACCCGACACCTCTTCGTTTATCCTGGTAGGGTACGAAATCTAATATATCCCGTTTATTCTAAAGACTCACAAGAACTCCCAAACTCACACGTATGTACATAAATTAACTACACATCACTTTCAATCACCTCTCATATATTTGCATCAAATCATCTTAAATCATTATATTTTAAATATTTTATTAATATAAACTCAAAATCTCACTCATATCTAACTTAATCAACTTTTTCAAAATTAACTCTTGTTATTCAACAAATCCAAAATAACTTATATCCCCTTATTGTTTTTGTTGATGGTGGTGTAAATTAAAAAAAAAAAAAAATTGCTACATATCTATCATTATATTAAAAGATTAACCATTTAACACTTTTAGCAAGTTTTTCCCGCCAAATACATTTAATGTCTCCTAAAAATAGAGCAGCATTAAATGTTGCCCTTAAATCATGGCAGTTGTTAATTTAGTTTGGAGAAAATCGTGGCAACTAAAACAAACAACATTAATTACGGCTGATTTAATATTTAAATGGTAAACAAATATTACTTTTTTATAACTGATTTAAATTTACGTATGTTTAAAAGTAAAAAACTATTTTTGTAATTTCAACAAATTTGTACTCTTTAATGTACGGTTGATTTAAAATTAAGAATTTACTTTTGTATTTTCACAAAAAATCGTATAAAGAAGTATGACTGGAATAATAATAAAAAAAAAATAATTTGTCAAACCATATTTTGCACTTATAGATACGAATTCTCATCAAATTCAAGATTTAAAATTGTGAAGAATGCATATAGATGTGGACTGATTGAAGATATATGATTCCTTAAATTAAGGATTTTTTTCCGGTAAAAACAAATATAAACTTTAAATATAGATTTTATTAGTAGTGTATACTAAAGAATATTGCTACATTTAAAATTTCTATGAAGAAGAATTCTATTAATTTTCAAATTCAACATCTCATAAAAATAATATAATACATTTTTACATTCTATGAACCAATATTTAAAACCCACCGTTCAACATGCATAAAATGTAAACTTACCTAACATGAATCATTTTAACTTTCTAAAATCAGTACACAACTTGCTCGGTATGTACTAATAGCCTAATAGTTAAGAGTTAATATTTGCTATGACATCTATTGGTTGGAAAGAATTCCATTTTGTATGGAATTCGAAATGAAAAAACATATTCTGAAAATCAAATCTGGTTTAGAGATCGATTTCTTAATGGCCTTAAATTATGCAAATATATTGTTCAGTTTTTAGGATTCTTTTTTATGATCTCAGTCTTTGCATTATATGAAATTTATACTTATATAAAAAGTCATCCTATTTACTAGAAATAGGAGGTAGAAAAGACAAAGGTAATTAATGCTTGCTGGAAATAGAATGATATTAATTACAGATTTGTTTTGGTGTTTATAGACTTGACATTAAAGATTCGTTATGAGATAAAAAATTAGAACCGATTTTTTTACTTTGCTGGAAAAGTCAAAGGTAAGTGTAGATGTGTTTTATCTCATACCATCGGTTTAGTTAAGAAAATCCCATCAAATCAGTTTTATATGTCAAGCCTATGAATAAAGATTTAATCGGTCAAAATTAAATCCTTATTTTACGTCACCCATAAATGAAGTAGATGTCAAGCCTAAATTAAAAGGTTTAGTTGTCTATATAGTCACTGATTCACGTAAATACATCTAATGTTTAAAGTTTGTGTAGATTGAAAATTCCTTCTTATCTTTTTACAAAAAATTTTATTATTATTGTATGGAAAATCAAACTCATAATGTTGTGTACAATGTGGTCTTTAATAATATATGATTGTTTGTTTGTCGAATACTATCTTATTGTATAATTTTCCTGCGTATTATAAAACTTTTATTGAATATTGCATCTTATAATATAGTATTCCTCAAATAAATATATCCCGTGCCTCGCACGGGTCACGTATTATATATATCCCGTACATTTTTCTGTATTCAAATATATAATTATAAATCTGGATAAATAACCTTAAAATTGTGCACCCCGTGCATGGCACGGGCTCTGTACTAGTTTAGCAAACAAAGAGCGGCCACATGCCAATAATTCTAATTGATCCCACACATAACAAAAACAAATACACACACCAGTTCGAAAGACGCACTCTCTCCCTTCGGAGAGGGCTACATTTTATATGTTCACCAACACTTAGGACCTACCACAACATAGCCTTCACACACTATGCAAAACAACACAATCATAGAAAAAGAAAAGGTTGACCATTGTTTTGCAACTTCTTTTGGCAACTTTTCTCTTTTTAGGGAAAAGAAAAAATAAAAAAAATAAAAAAAAAAAAAAAA